AAATTTTGACGACCTTTTTTTTTAGGTCAACCAAATTGATTTTTCGAGCTCTCCCAAAGCTCTGTTTTGCCCCTATTTTGGCTAGATTTTCTGCGCCGCAGGCAAATTTTTAAAAAAACAATCAAAAAGGCCGTTTTTGGGCACTTTTTGAAAAAATTTTACAAAAAAATCGCGTTTTTTTGGCGCGCGCTCCCCCTCAAAGTTAGTATAAATTGGCGCCAAAGGCGCCTTTAGAAAAATTTTAGGGTCGGTCGGCCAAAAATGGATTTCTGAAAAAGTATCAAAGGGGGGACCCTTTGGGTCGGCAGGGGGTCGAATCCCTGAGGGGGGGGGGGGGGGGGGGGGCGTCCGCAGACCCCGGCCCCCCCCCCCCTTAATCCGCGCCCCTGACCTCAATCGTTACAAAATTTATCAAAAAAAATCATTTTTAACTTTTAAAAAGTTTCAAAAACATCAATGATCTTCGAATTGATTTAATTTTCTTCGAATTAATTGAATTGGTTTATAGAAGAGTAGCTTTATGAAAGCATGAATTATCTTCGAATTAATTGAATTGGTTTATAGAAGAGTAGCTTTAAGAAAGCATGAAACAATTGTGAAACAAGTCATTGCCTATACGGGACTTGAGCACCACAGCAGCGCTTTAAACGGAAATGTCTATCATAGTAGTACCTACACTTTTTCAGTCCCCCAGATACGGCACAAACATAAAGAGTCGGAAAAAAAGTTGGAAAACCAAGTGAATCAAAGGTTTCGTGTCTCGGTAAAAAAAACTACAAGGAGCCTAGCTTAAACTGGAGGTATGATACTGAATGAACTTTCTATACTCATGCGGCACGAAAAATATGATTTGGACTCTCCAAATTTGTCCGTGTTTTCCCAAATTTGTCCGGACTTTGCCAAAGGATTTTCGTGTCAGAAAAAATTGGGCGTGGTCGTATGAACAAATAAGCAAATGAGCTTCCCACAACCCCTTCTTTGATTTCAACGCACATCTCAGATGTGCCAGGAAAGTTTTCAAGAATAATCAAAATACTAAAAGCGGTCAAAAAGTCAAACTTTGACTTTTCCGAGGGCGATAAATTTTTGTGTATAAAAACATTGTGGGAGGCCGCTAACGCAGGGTAGCTTCCCAGTGCCAGTTAACTCCCTTGAACCCACAAAATCAGTATTAAAATTTTAATTTTTGAGAAAAGTCAAAGAGAATCACAAAACCGTCAAAAATCAAAAAGGGACTATTTCGAGATAATTCCCCACATTTTTTCGAAGGCGGTAAGCAGAGGGGTCAAAAAGAAAAAGACTCTAGGGGAGCATTCAGACACATAGGTAAGGTGGTGGTTCTTATTGATACTTTTTTTACAAAACTCAGTAGAAGTGTATGAGAAAAACAATTTTTTTTGCAGAATGTGAAAACATTTTTCAAAACGAAAAAACAAATTTCAACAAACCGATTGGAAAACAAATAACCAACTTGAAAAAATCGGAGGGAAGTAGTAAAACTGTGTTTCCCTTGAATTGATTTAAAATTAGGTCGTTAGGCTGATTAAAAATAGGCCAAAATAATTTGTGCCGAGGAATATTTTTTAGCGAAACAAAAAAAAACAAAGAAAAGAATACGAAGTCAAGGTAGATAAAAGTGCATATTGTAGGAGTAAAGCAAACACTAAACGCAACAGTAAAGAAAAATGCAACAAAAAAAAACGATCCCAAGATATGACAAATAAGCATACAACAAAAAGCAGACAAAAACTTGGCCGACAATTTTACTCAAAACAGAATATTTACCGCTTGAGAAAAAAACAGGACCTACTCAGATTCACCCAGGACCTTTGCCATCCAAAGCAAAATAGTTACCTCCAGGCTAAAGTGGCTGGGAACGCAAAGAAATTTCAATTCATCATTAACCAAGATACAAGTGATTCAAATGATTCTGTTAAACACGTTGGCATTACGGAAAAAATTCTATTTTCCAGTTTGATAACGCTTGTCAATCGCAAGCGTAACCAATTTCTTACTTCAAAAAACAAAAAACACGTATTTAAGATTTTGGCTCCAACCACCATTTGAATGTTTAAAATGGCCTAACTCTGTTCACCTGAAACTCACTCTGTTTTCTGAAACTCAATTTACCAAAACCTATTTGCAATGACTTTCGATGTTGTAAGCTGCGCTAAAATGTTTCAGCAAAAACATGTGAATACATCAATATACTTTTTCTTACATGGAAAATGCCGTTTAAAAATTTTTTCAACGACTTTCATTTGTAGTTTCCTAATGGAGGAATATCTGGGAAAGAGCCTGTTTTTTTTTCAAAACACGTCCTCAATTCTGACGATGTAACATACTACTCCGGCAATTTTTCCTTCTTTATAACCGGTATATGTGTTTTTCAGTTTTTTTATTCTAGGCTGTGAACTTGAGATAAGAATTCAATTTCGAATTTCAATCATTTCTTTTCTCAACGCGTAATCATTTCTGCATTATCTTACTTCCACAATCTTTTACTTCTATAAACAAAACAAGTTATCTTCAGTTTTTTTTTAGCTTATTTCACTTTTCATCATTGTTCAGTTGAAAATCAACCCGGTGCCCCACGACATAGTTCGCTTTCTAATTCAAATACCACTGAAAATTTGAAAATATGCAACAGTAGATGAAACTGATCAGAAAAGTAAAAAAATTGTGTGAGAAATTTCACTAGTTCAACATACGGGCCAAAAATTTTTGTAATCTTGCCATTTTAAAAAGTATACTTTTAACACAGAGGCAATGCTGAGCTTCACATCAGTTGCGATACACAAATGCCAAAAAAAACACCCAAAATTTTCAATTTTTTTTCACACTGAAACTCATTTTATTGAAAATCTGTGGTTGGACACAACAACCAGTATTGAAAAAATTCGAATTGCGCTACAAAAGTTGAAATTTTAAAAAAAAATTGGAAAAGTTACAGCTCCAAAATTTTCATGACTGCTTTGATAGACGTTTATAAACAGCCTCAAAACCAAGTGGAAATCATTCACTGAGCGGCAACAAAAGCGACAAATTTTGGGACGAAATTTGTTGAGCCGAAAACAAAATTAGTCATAAAAAATGTCAAGTTTTTTTAAAAAATTTTATGTTCCTATACCGTAATATTTTCTATAACGAAAAAGAATTTTAAAAAACGCTATATCAGTCTTGGTAAATTTACAATTAGTGAATTTTCAGTTATAGTAAGAAACTGCTCAATTTAGAAAAAACCATGCTTCAAAAAGTAAGCCACTAACAACCTTACAGGATAAAAATATTGATTTTTTTTGAAAAATTAACTACAATCTGAAATTCTTTTTACCTAATTACTACTTAAATGATGGTAGGTTTATTTGAAGTTCTAGAATTTGAGCATGTCGAAAGTGATATTTACCATTCATACTAAAATGACCATTCTGGGTGGAAAAAAGTCTAGTACACGATGGCAATACTCTTGCTTGCCCAAATGTGAAAATAGCCATTCTGAAACAGTATTTTAGCTACACTCAAAACGACAAAATGAAAAAAATCCTGATGTTTTTTGCACAAAATTATTTTAAAATACGTTTTTCGAATCTATGTTACGACTGAATGGTCTTGAGGATCATAACGCACTCTACCAAAAATTGTTTTGAACGGACCTGAAATGACGTGAAAACAATTACACGACCCACCAGAGAAATTAGCGAAGAGATTTTTTGAAGGAATCACTGAACTTGAAAAAATTTAAAAAACGTAGATTCACAAAAAAATCAGGTCAAACCTCTTTGAAGTTAAAACAACGCTTTGAATGATTTTTTGATGCCACAAACTCCGCTGAAAAAAAAAATAAAATCCACTTTTAAAACAAGAAATTAATCAAGTTTCTTTTTGTGTTTGTTGAACTCTATTTAAGAGCGTAATTTATTTTCACATTAAAAACAATCATTCAAGCTCTTTAGAACAATCATTGACAATTTGAACAGTGCTGATTCAAATTGTCTAGACCAAACAAACAAAGCTACAAACGAACAAAAAAATCAAACGTAGTTTCTCAAATTGGGTTAGTTCGACAAAAATTGAAGAGAAGCTAGTTAAAATTCATCAAAAACATGATGCTATTTCTTTACAAAACTTGCAAGCAAAGTTTAACTCCAAATCGATTATTCTGGCTGTTTTTACTTAATCAAGGGTTACGGTGAACTTAACGAACTACTTATATCAAAAGAAACTTCATACATAGCCCAATAGCTAAAAAAATTGAGGAAAACATTTGTAATTAGTGCTTAACCACAGATTTTGAGTTATATATAATAAAAATGACCTTTTTGGCGTTCAAGCAAGAAACTATTAACTGAGTTGAAACTATTAACTGATCTTGAAAAAATCTGAATTTGAGTCAAGCCACAAAAACTCTGTCCAATTTTTTCCAATCAAATTGACTTTTTCCTAAAAAAATCATCACGACCAATACAACTGAAACTGCTTTCCTTCTTTTACACTTAGAAACTGCATGCCGTTGTATTCAGTGAGGATAGTCTTTGAATATATGCTTCATATATACTTCACCAGTTGCAAAGATAACTTTTTAATAGAAAATCTCAATTTTTGTTTTCAATTTGAAAAAGTGGCATGAAATTTAAGTGTCCCCTTTTCAAATATATGCTTCACATAATACTTAATTTCACACCACTTTTCAAATTGAAAACAAAAGTCGAGATTTTCAATTAAGATTTTGTCTTAGAAACTAGTTCAACTAAATTAACCAAACTATCAGAGAAACTAGTAGCTTAAGTTGTTACTTAAATGGGCCATTCTTAACTACCAAACCCCGCAGTTTCTATTCGAAGCCAATTATTCGTTTAACTAAAACAGCGAGCTCAACTCATTTCAATTGAGTCTGCTCATCTTTAATCGACTGTTTGCTTAGAGGCGATGCTACGAAGTAAGGACAATAATTTATAACGTCTCGTATCAGTCATCCAAAAACAAATGATCATAATCTTTATATCCAAAATTAGATCCAAACTGATATCCCATAGCCAATCTATGACTCCTAGTCTCGTTTCTAATAACACAACTAAAAATCTACAGAGTGAAATTAAGCTACTATTTGTGAAAAGAAAATACTTTTTTGCGTTATTTTAATGGAAACTTGATGGTAGTTTACAAAGTTTCCAGTTTTAACGAGCTCTGCTTCGATAAATAAATCATATAGAGTTTGTAATTTCATCTGTTAAATGCAGTGTACTTTGCGTGTAGAAGACCTTCCGGTAGTTCTTCGAATAGACTAAGTAGCCGTTGCTGAGAAGGGTGCTGATTAAAAAGAGAATGGAGGTGAGGACACTTGTCAGGTAGAAGCCCAGCTTCGGGTATATCACGCCCCCAAACACGACTGAGCCCATAATACGACCAGCTAAAACAAGTGTCCATGTTCTAATCAGTATTTATTCTAAACAGGTGCAGATGTGTGAAAATAAAAATTGTCTCTAAAAGACGCCAAAATACAAAAAATTTGAGGTAGTTCCCGGAAAATAACGCAGTCGTTGGTACAATTCTTCCATAATAAAACGTCTAAAACATTATTTATTGCTAGAGCTCGCAAAATCAAGACCCAGACCCGCCCTCTGATTGATGCAAAATTGTACAAAGTTTTTTACCATAAACTCAATTTGCTTCACAGTATGTTGACATTCAGGGCATGTGAAAAATTTAATAATAACTATGCTTTGGCTGAACAATTACCGGCCATAGTGAAATTGATCCATATTCCAATGACCAGTTTCAAGCTCTGCTCACTGTGCATGTAGCCATTGGCCAGTACTATATGTTCAAGGATAAGATACACTGGCACAAATGTACCGGACAGAGCCACTCCGTCTAAGGCCAAGATGGTACCAATGAAGAACTTGGTCTCCAACATTGGCCAAACGTAAGGAGCACTGAAGAGAAATGATATCACAACTTCGAAGATACAGCTCCAGAAGAACACGTGCACCGCATAGCCTATAAACAAACAAAACACTTTACTCCAATGATAAAAACTATATAAAAAAAGAGCCTTGGTAATATACATTTCAAACTCAAAACTTCAATTGTTGTTCCAACCACTGAAAGAAGGAAGGATTTTTTACTTTGGGTGTGTTTTAATTCCACGCAAATCAGGTATCACAAACAATCATTGTAATGAGTCGAGTGATCTATCGGATCAAAACTTCTATGTTTAGCCTAATTACGATACTAGGGCAATAAGTTATTATTTAAGCCGTGAACTTAAATTTCACTCCCATGAAATTTGTTTCAGCAATTTGGGAACAGTTATATCAGAGGAAAGTTAAATCAGAAAATTTGATTTATATATACTTTTTTTTCAACTTTCGGAGAAAATTGTTGTTGAATATTCCTAATTTACTATCACTATCGAATATACCAACGTTGTAGGCTTTCGTTCAGATCCTCTATCACACAAAGAAAAAACGACATTTCAAAATTCATTTTGAGACACTTATTTTAAAACGCTATTTTCAGGACTGCATCAAAATTCAATGAAAATTGATTTTCTTCCTGATCATATGTAAATCTATACCAATAGTCGTCAAATGATTAGATCAGTCTTATTTATTCGTTTTAACAGGCACAAAATTTTCAAGTAAACCTTAAAAAAGTAGCCAACAGACACAACGAACTCAAGGAGACCAATAAAATTTTTAATTGATTTTCTAAAAATATAAATGGCGTTAAAGCTCTTTGATTTTAAAGAAATTTTTGTGAAAGATGGCTTCAGGATTAAATTTAACCCAAATTGGAAAACTGATCAACCGGTAGATTTTTTATTCTGCTAGTAGAAAACTTAAAATCTACTTCAGAAATCATTCACGTTTTTTCGAGTCTTCTAAACTTATGCTATTCTAAACTTATGCAGTGGAATTAGCTTTCCTCAAACCACAACAACCTTGAAGAAAGTAAAACTATTTCAATTTCCAGACCCTTTTACGATTGACACTATTTTAATAAGGCTAAACCATTTTGAGACAACTGGATCATTATATTATTTTACTTTCCTGCTGAAAACTAAACACAGCAACCAGAAAGTTGGAAAAAACTCGATGCACAAGGAAACTGAAAACAAACTTTCACGGAACATTTTTTTTAACTTCATCACTTTAAAGCTCATCAAAGAAAAAATTATCTGGCACTGAAGCTCTTAAAATTTAAAGAATTTTTATGATTGATACTTTGTGACACTTAGCTACCAAGTCTTGCAAGGTACTGAAAAAAAATCGAGATAGATGATGTTCTTTTTGCGGAATACACATCCATAAACACAATCGTTGGCATTAAATAAGTTTTCAGAAAAATTTACCTAGCAGCCACTCAGTCGACAAAAGTTGGGTAAACTCCCTTGGGTTACTTTAAGACCATCCCACCCTCCGGAAACACAAAACGATAAAAAATCATTTTCCAATGAAAGCTAGCCAAAACATAAGCCAAAACAATTGAGGCCATCAAAATTTTTCACCAAAAATAACAAAAAAGTAATTTACAAAAAAAAAAATTTAACGCTTTTCAATTACGAGGAAAATTGCTGACATCAACAAGTCAGCAATTTTTTAACTAAGCCGTGAAATCAATTTTCGTACATAGAGGGGAAGCTGCCCTTCGCAAACACTTGCGAGAACACGACCAAAAAGCAGCTCTATCAAGTGAAATAAGAAAAAGTAGAAAAAAACCTCGAATTAGCAAAAACTCGGCTACGTAAAGGCTTCGAATCTGCGACATAGCAAATTCGAGTCTCACGCACTGACCACGAATGCTTTATATCACCAAAAACTAGCCACCAATAACGCAGCTAAAAAATTGCCAATTCGATGCATCAAAAGAGAATTTTGCATTTAATAATTTGGAATGCATAAAGCCAAATTATGTATAAATTATGCATTTCAAAAAAAAACTGCGAAACACATTGAGTTGGAAAACTTCTGAAATTGAACTTTTTACACAGGAGCAAAGCTGAGCTTCGCATCACTTGCAATACAAAACAGAAACGAAAAAAAAAAATCAAAAAGGTCGAAAAACTAGATCTATTTAAAAGAATAAGACTAGTTTTGAAACAAAAACATGACAAGACAATAGAATGTGTAATAAGCATCGGAAGATAACGTACCCAGCGGTGATAAAGCCGAAAACACCTTGCCAGAAACCCTTTAAGCCGAAAAAATATCGATAAGACTTCAGACATCTGAAAAGTTAATACATCCACCTCAACGTCAAAAAACTTCATTTGCTTGTCAAAGAAACAATATGAGGACACTAAGCCGATATAGAATAGGCCGAAACCTATTAAACTCCAAAAATGAAAATAAAAAAACCGAAAAAAAATTTAAAAAAAAACATTAAGACTAACATTGTCGAAACACGCAATATGAGTCCAATAAGCCGATACAGTATACGCCGCATCAGGAAAAAACTTAACTCTATTTCTATTTTTCTATCAAGAAATTTAGCATTTTTGGGCTATACAGAGGTGAGCATAAAAAACGGTTCGAAATAAGGTCACTACGCCGATAAAGAAAATGCCGAAATCATTTGGGCAGAATAAAGTTTTTAAACGAAATCAATTTAAGTAAATTACAAACAGCAGACGTTAATCAGAACACTAAAAGCAACTATAATGAAAAAAAACTTTAAAAAAAATCTACAACATGGCAACTAAGCCGAAAAAACCTAAGCAGACAATAATAGGTCGACAATTTTTTTTTAAAACGGACTATTTCCCGTTTGAAAAAAAAAAACAGGTCAGATTAGTTTCGAACCCAGGACCTTTGACGTCCCAGGCGTATTGTTTACCTCCAGACAAAGTGTGCCGGAGACGCTTAGAAATTTGAATTCATAATGAACCAAGATACCAATTGATTCAAGTGATTCTGTTGAACAAGTTGTTAATTCGAAAAAAGTCTGTATTCCAGTTTGATAACGCTTGCTAATCTTAAGCGTAATCATTGTACTGCTGTTTGAAACAAATAATTTTTTCGGTTCATTAGATGAATTAATAATGCATCAACTGTGTTAACTTCAAATCCAATCAAATGTTAAAGCAAATATGATATTATACTGCTACAGCAGCCTACTGCTCAAAATGCCACCAAAAGTAGCATTTTTATTATCGACCTAGGTTAGGCAAAAAAGAAATTTCGTACTAATGTACTCGCTTCGCAAGTTTAAATATAAAAGAAAACCAAAACTTCTATGATTGAAACCAATTTTATGTACAGAGGCGAAGCTGCACTTTGCTAAGAGAAGTGATAGAAATGACAAAACTGAGCTCTATAAAGTGAGATAAGAAAAACGTAAAAAATGAACTTTGAATAAAAAAACTTTTACAATTTGTCGGATTGGATCCTCCGGTCAGGAGATTTAGAAAGCCATGTTCTCGAATCTGTACCACTGGCCCTTTAAAAATGATAACACTACCCAACAATAAAGCCATCACATGTGCTAAAAAAAATTGCCAAGAAGAAAAGGTTATAAATAAAACTATTTAGCTGCTAATTAACTCAAGCTGCAACCAAAATTTTGCCTAATACTAGTCAGAATGATTACCATTTATCAAAATTTATCAATAATTCAAATGAATCAGCTCTGAATATGTCTGAATTGCTTACTGGTTCACCTCATCTTTGGTTTAACTGAAACATTAAGTAAGTTAACGGTTTTCTTCATTAAGGGTGGCTTGACAATCGGCAAACAATAGCCACCAATAAAGCAGATAACAGATTCCATGAAAATTCTAGATAGTAATCATAGCAAAAATGCTACCAAATGAGCACTTTTTATTGCGCCTTATGTGAAAAAAAAGTAGATTCATACTCTATGCTCGCTTATGTAAAATACTAAACCGCTCTGATAAAATTGGATAAGTGTAAAATACTAACCCGATTTGATAAAACTAGATCATTACTTTTTTATTTTGCTGGTAATTACAGGGATAAACATAGCCATCAGAAAAATGCAGAAATATGCATAGACTTAAGCCGACAAAAATAAGCAGACAGACAATAGTCTATATCAGCGGAAAACTTTCAGTTTCCAATTTCCGGGCGTTTTCGTATCCAACATGGGTGCTACAGCAAGTTCGGGTTATGGTAACTAAGCCGACAAAATAAAGATACGGACGATAGTCCGAAAAAGCACAAAAACTCTAGTTTACAAAAAACAGGTCCCCGAGCTCCGTTTGCACTTTCGTAATTGGACCATAAATTTCCTTCCTTTCAGCAAATGCTATTGAATTGAACTTGAAAAGAAATCAAAATAGAAAACTTGAAAAATTATTTTTGTTAAAAATTAAACACTTCGTTGTGACACTTAACAATTTTAAAAAAAACAGCGTACCTTTATCGACTAATAAGCCCACAAACTGCGTACAAATTGCATAGAGTGCACCCATTGCCAGGAAATACAAGCCAGCTGTGTCGCCATCTACACCGAATGTCTGCAATAGATACGGCGAAAGAGAGACGTCATAGAGTCCAAAAGGGACAGAGCCCAGAATGAAGAACATGCTGACTAGCCACACCCCTGGGTAGGCAAGAAAAGCTGCCAATGCTTCGCTAGTGTTGTCTGGCAGAGTATTGTTTTGAAGCGGGGGGTCTTTGGCTGTCAGAAGATTTACGTCTGAGTTCTGGTCGCTTTCTGATATGTCAACCATCGTGCTGGAAGATAATATTGCAATAATTACAAAACATTCTTCGCTTTGAAGCCCAAAAATGAATCAAATATGCCCACAGTAACTGCCGAAAAATTTTATTATCATAATTGATGTTCCGCTGAAACTAAAAACAACTGTTGATAAAAACAGGCACGCAACAGTTTACTTGAAAGCATTACTGAAGATTTGTTCAGTTCATTTGAAATATATAAAACTTTTGCTACATTCTTTAAAATTCATTCGTGTTAAACTAAAGTAACGGATTTAAAAGCTTTTCGAGAGATGATTTTCAAAAAAAAAACAATCGAACTCTGTAGGCAAAGCAATTCGATTTTGAAGTCAATCCTAAGCAGATCTGGTTTTGATTCTTTCCTTATTATCTTGGCGTGTTTCGGTTAATGACTCTTTTCCATTCCCCGTCCCATCATGGCAAGTTTTACCTTTTCATAGTAATTTTACAAATGTTTATGGCTAAATGCTAGACGTAAGATATGGAGAACATTTTTTTCAAAACTATTTATTACTCAACAACAAAAAAACTTTTTGACCACAAAAACTTCGTTTTTCAAAACTAAAATTCCAATGGAAAATAGGGACTATAGAATGAACTTAATTTTCAATTTAGAAAAAAAACATTATTAAAGAAATTCAATTTATTGATTATATAGCAAAATGTCCAATTTTGAAAATTCAGTTCGATGGAAAAAAATTTGAAACAGTCCAACAAATATCATTTGAACGTAAAACTAGCTACCTGTCGTCACTGTTTATTCCACTGTCAGCTGCAACACTTGCTGCACGCGAGTTAGAAACACTGTTCGCACTAGGAATAGTAACCATTGCAACTAACACGAACAGCATCTCAATAATTCCAGCCACCAGAAAGGGATACATATACCCCCCTAGACTGTACACCCCGCTTCCAATTGGGGGTCCGATTGCGATCCCAACTCCCACTCCTGACTCGATGAGGGACGTGATTCTTCCAGCGTAAGATGGGGCCATAGATGTCAGAAGTGGCACTCCAACTGACCATAGCATGCCAGCTCCGATGCCCATGACGATGCGAGAGAAGAAACACATTGATGCAAACCACCATCCGCCTGTACAGACAAAAAAGATCCGATGATGTTACATAACTAGCTTTTTCACACTTGCAGAGAGGGGAGGGTGAAATTATTACAAGGTATAAAATTCGCATATGCTTAAAGGTTGAATTGTTCCTTTATAGGGGTGGATAGCCTTTACTGTGTAACGTACGGGGGGAATAGATAAAAAGACAGTTGAAGACAAACCAACTGACTGCTGAAAAAGAGTAATGAACGCAAGGAAACAGAAAAACTAACTTCTTGTTTTTTGAAGAATTTTAAAGAAAAAATATATGCCCTTAAATCTCTTTGAATTTCACGAACAACTTATGTTTCACCCAATTTGAGAAAATTTAAAAAAAAAAATCAAAATTCAAATCGCGAAAAAGTAAATTTGAGCCTGAACAAATTTTTGGAAATTTTTTCGTGAAGACCTATATAAGAGGACTCATCACGTTCATTACCCTTAAATAAATTTTTTCGGCAAGCAACACGTTTTACTATGGGTGTATTTTGTTCCTTTTTGAAATTGTGTACATATGTTTAAACATGGGATTGTAAAAAGAAACATAAGTAAAATTAGGAATTGCAAACCTGGTCCGTTTCCAAGGATTCCAAAACAAATGTTAGCAACTGCACCCATAGTTGTGCCCCATATGAAGAAGAATTTGTTCAACTCCGGTTTGGCAAATAGGGGTAAGAAAGCACTGAAGATGAGAGTTGAAAAATCGAAACAACTAGTAATTGCACCCACAAGAAACTCGCTCAGCCCCTTGTACAGTTCCGCTTCGTTTGGGAAAAAGGGCGCCAGCTGGGAGTAGTTTATTCCTTCGGCCACAAAAAGCAGCACAGAAATGACCAAAGCTACAATCACTTTAGTTGTAAGTTCGGCCGACGACATTGCACAAAATTAGCAGCTAGCTTGTTTGCACATATGTACAATTTGATATTTCTAACTTCAAATCGACCGATTGAAGATTCTTCACTAAGTATATATATTGCACTAGATTTGTGATTGCTTGAATGGTAGTTAATAATTGCACTTTTGCGTGATTTAAATACTACAATTCACAGGCGTATCTCTGCGACAGCACCCTGTTCCACAAAAGTCACATTTTGAAGCGTTCTGAGGTCGTCATTTTTCTGAAAGTGATTAATAAAGTTATCTAACTAATTCTCTAAATATCATTCTACCACTAGACTAAACCATTAATTTAAGATAGCATAAACTATCTTCTTTAGACATCTTCATAACATTACTGCTGGTAATTATGTAGTAACAGAACTTTTCTCCACAAAAATCTCCTCGAGCTCCTTTGCGAAAAATTGAGAAAACCGGCTAGGTCTCAAAGGCGAAGCAGAACTGCGCGCTATTTGATTCATGGGCAAGAAAACATTGATTAGAAAAGCTGGCTCAAATATTGAAACTACTGAATTGATGTCCCTTTTTTTAAAAAAAATCATATTTGGTTTGCTGGTAATATCGGCTAGTTTATCCAATAAATCAAAACCAGTCAGGTAAATAGTTTGGCAAGCTTTCAGTTGTTGCAGCGATGTTATCTCTAAACGCTTAGAAAAACAGGACCCGAAAATTTCAGAAGACAAATCTGGAGAAAACAACATTATTCTCAGCAAAGCGAAGCGGAGCTATGCACCAATTGCGATAAAAGAGACCAAAGAAGCAGACAAAGCGAGCAAAAAATCAAAAACAAAATCTAAAAATCAACTCGAATCAGTAAATAAACTCTCAGTATATTATATGTAAGATTTCGTTTTTTACAGATTTCCAACCAGAATAAAAAACCTCGCTGGCTTTCTATGAATAGTTGTTGACACTTGCAAGAATCTCAGCTGCTGGAAAGGGCAAAATAAGCTCCATAAATTCAGAATTTGACTTCGCCATAGAGCTAAATTATTATCAAATACTTTTTCGACAGTTTCATTCAAAAATGTCTTTATCAAAATGAACTGCTCCTGCACTTAAACAGATGATTTATCCCTTAAGCACAATGAGCTAAACAAAACAAAGCAGAAAAACAGACAGCAAAATGACATCAAAGAACATTTTTTTACTTTTAAGCAAAATCCAAACCGTGCAAAATCAAATTTTCAATTATGAAAAAGAAACTGATCTGAACAAGAATATGCGTACCATGCCAGAATTTATGAAGAAAAATATTTGCCCATTTTTAGAAGCAAGCCAAATTAGACAGACATTGAAAACAAAATGCACAACGAATATAAGGATAGCCGGTTACTGTGCAAGTCCGACCAAGGTCTTTAGAAAATTAAAGTTAAGAAAGTTGTTTTTCAAATTAGTGTAGTTTTTTCTGCTTGGTGTGATAAAAGGATCTGACGTTAAAAAAAATAAGGCATATTAGACAGTCATAGTAATCGGCAAATTGGTCAAAAATTTTTCTAAACAAATTACTAGAAAAACTAAAAATGAAGCTAAAAAAACTCCAAACACTAATTTTACTTACTAAAAACTAAGTTTTAAGGTCTTAAATAAGGCATAATCCAGCTGATGAAGCTTGCCCGCTGCTTTATTCGCTCAAATTAAGACGAAAAATCAAAAATTTCAAACCGGTTTTTCTCGACACTGGGAAAATTTTTGAGATATTTTTAATGTGGTTCGAATCACGAATGAAAGGACTCTAATATGATATATCAGTCAGCCTAGTCCGGAAAACAAACAGAAAAACTAAAACATCCGAATACAAAGTTCCTCCCCATTTTTCAATGGTCGGAACAAAAACCCAGCCACTTATCTCTTCCTTGCAAAAATACAAAAAAGTATAGTGGGCCATCGTTCCAATTGCGATACATCAACAACATAGCAAGGCAAGAAAAAAGCCGAAAATGGGATTAATAATCGAAGAAAAAGGAAAATTTTCGGAAAAAAACGAAAGTTTAAACACTAGAAATTATCAATGATGCATTAATAATCGAAAAAGGAAAAATTTCAAAAAAAATGAAAGATTAAACACTAGAAATTATTGTTGATGTATTGGAATTCATTTCTGGAACAACATGCCAAAAAGGACAAAACACGTGTTCAGAAAGCATTGAAACAAAATGTACAAAGTTGCAAGTAAGCCGACAATACTAGGGCAGATGACACCCTTTCAGCAAAAAAAGGTTGTCTGAAAAACTTTGAACCATAACATGTTTCTAAGTCCCATCGATGCAAACGCTCGCAATAAAAAATTGAGTCTTCAAAAGAAGACGACGCAAAAAGTAGTGACTCGGCCGACAAAAGCCCTTTAAAGCAAAAAAAAAACAATACATTGAATGCAACGGATACTTAAAAAGCTAGTTGTTCAACAAAATCGTGAATAGTTTTATAAACCTGATTTAGACAGAGGTTAGGCAGAGCTTCACTGCTTTTGCAATACAAAAATCTATGCCATAACTCAAACGAAAAAGTTTCTTTGAAAAGCCATACTCTCAAAAACTAAATCAACTCCAATTCTTTCAACGCCAAAGTATTTAAGAAGTTTGCAGGAATACGTCTGAATCCTACAAAATCGAACAAATCAAATGTTTTGTTCATTTACAAAAAATCATTAATTTGTTTCTCATACAAAGAAAACAGAAAAAACGGCCGCCTAAAAGGTGTCATAAAAGCACCAAACTTTTGCAATTCTTTAAAAAAATCAATTACTTAGCCTTTCTAAAACTCGATAAAATTCTCTCCTAACTAGCAAAACAATTTGTGCGTTTTCTTAACTAAGTATACCTCGATAACAATCGACATGACCAAAATTAGACCTGATCCCAGGATGTAAAAACTATGATTGACACAAGAATTTTGTTCGCAAAACAAAAGAAATCGTTTTGTACCAATGAAGAATTTGGGTTTAATAAAAATAAATAGCTTTGCATGTAGCTGAAAAGACTGGTTATGATTTTCAAGGCGCAATTTTAAGAATATGGCCAACAGACAGTTGGAAAAAACACAAATGAAAGCAAGTAATCAGAAAAAAGTACAGACTTGGTGGTCGCGACAATTCGCACAAAAATCTTTGAGGGCGGGGAAGGCGCCCCGCCTGATCCTGGCACAAAAAATTTTCATAAAGATATCTCTAGCTTTTCGACCAAAACTTTCACGTTCTCAAAAACCCTCCTGTAACTTTTTCTAATTTTTTGCATGCGGCTCTAGAATGTCAAATGAATAGTGGTTTCCTCTTGTGACTTTTTGACCCAAAAATTTTGAACAGGTGTTTGGACTAATTAGGGCATTTTGCCCAAATTGGGAAAAATTTTTATTTTGCTTAGTTCTCAAAAATAAGTAAAAATTTTGATATACTTATGAAAATAAGTCTAAACTGATCTGAGCAGTTCTATCTAACAAACTAATCATCATGGTGGTGGAGTTTTTTGAATCTGAGAAAATTGAGAAGCTAATATGAAAAGTTTCAGCTGAAACTTGGCACTTCTTCAAAAGAACCATTTTTTTCAAAAAAATTCCAAATTTTCGATTTTTTAAACTTTTTGTTCAGAAATAAAGTAAAAAAAAACGATTTTGAGTTAGAGTCAGTTAGATATAGCTTTCAGAATTCTGTCAAAAAAATCGAAAAAACATGTTTTTTTGACCTTTCTCAAAATTTTAAAATAAGTGATCCACTTCTTGTTAGCCGCCAGATAAGGTCTCCCAAAACCTCGAAGACTCAAACAAAAAGACTGATGAGATTTTTTGAAGTTTTTTCGAAAAATGATTTTTTTTGATGTTTTTTTTTGGACTTTTCAGCTGAAAAATTATTCTAAGTACCGCCATTTGAAGAAGAAAAAAGGTTAAAATTGAAAATTACCTATTTTCTGAGGTTTTTTCTTGAGATTTGTTAATATGCTGAGGTTTGTTAGTATGCTAAAAATGGCTCATTCAGACTATCTTTATAGCTTGTTTAGGTACAAGTTTCTCAAGATGGCTCAAAGGTGCCTTAAGTGGAGGCGACAAGGAAAAAGAGCCTAAATGAAAACTTCATAAAATCTACAATTTTCAACATTTTTTGATAAATTGAAATAATAGTCCCACTAAATTGGGTACGCTGGCTCATAATATGCAATTGTTTTTCTCTTTTTTTTATTTTTGAAAATTACTAATTTTTGATTTTTTCAAAAAAAAACTTTTTAAAAATTTTTCTCTATTTTAAAACATTTTACAGCATATTGATGTTTTTTCTGCCAAAGTGCTATAAACGGCTGAACAGGAATCTTCATTACTTGAGAAAAGTTGGTGGTGCAAGGAAAAATTTTTTTTTTTAATTTTGCTATTTGTTGAACCTCGTATTTACGACACTTAAAAACATCAATAGCTCTTCATTCCGTTTTTTGGCATTAATTTTTTGTTTGGAGAAGCTAAGAGTTCTGATGGGTATTGCAAGGGATTCAATTCTGAATAAAAAAACGTCTTTGTTAAAAAGCTTTCAAGTATCAAATTACACTTTTTCGTGTTTATCAAAAGCTAATTCAAGTTCTATTCTTAATTCTGTTCTTATTTACATTATTTTTAACGTAAAAGATGCACTAATTGATTCTTTACAAAATGTTTATCGTGTACGTTGTCTTGTCCTACGTAAAGCGTCTTGCATCTTGTGTGCTAACTTGTATTGATCGACGAAAAACGGAGAGATGAGTTTAAGATGAAAAAAAAAATACTCGAAAAGCGACTTAAGAGTCGTTCATACAAGTGATTGCTTCAACAAAAAAAAACACATTAAACATTGTCATTATCCTTTGAAAAACTGCAGCCTATTATATACAGTGGGTCAGAGTAAAAAAAGCAATAAACAGCTGAGTGTCCAACTCTGGTTGAGATGTACTGAAAATGCTTCAGTACCCAAAATAACTACACTGGTAGTTAATAAACAAAACGGTTACAAAAAAACAGAGATTACAGTTAGATAAGATTTGAAAAAAAAACATAACCTAATTATAATATCAGTAAGCAATTTAAGATAAAAACGAAACGGTTACACTGTTGGGAATTTTGAAAAACGGTTCTCCAATTAAAGTTTTAATTCTCTGCAAATATTAAATTAAAAAGATCACAACTGAGTCCCACACAAGTATGCAAAAAACATTCATTGGTTTCAAAGCCATCAAGAAAACGTAGTAATTGTACCAAAAAGCGAAA